AGGAAGGAAGGAAGGAAGGAAGGAAGGAAGGAAGGAAGGAAGGAAGGAAGGAAGGAAGGAAGGAAGGAAGGAAGGAAGGAAGGAAGGAAGGAAGGCCCAGCTGTACACCTGTTTCTACAGCTGTTTTATTAATTAGATAACTAATTAACTAGGCCCAATTACAACTGCGTTGATTTTCCCAGCTAAGGATGTGTCCCCAAGCTCAAATTCCAATTACAGCCTTAAAATCCAGGCTTCCCAGAGCAGCCTTCTACACAAAAGCCTTTTATACCAACCATTCGTGTCAGTGAATTAATTAGTCTCTCAAAATGCCAGCTCATCCCTTTTCTCCTTCTTGATCTTTCCTGACATAGAACTGGGAATCATAACACAGCTCAGACCCCCACTCATCACTGAACTGTTCTCCAGCTGTACATAAAGAAAACATTTTCTGTGCAGAATTCTTTCCAGCTGAAGTCAGACCTCGTAAAAATTTTTCTAATTTAGAAGAAATATTCATTCCAGTTTTGCCAAATGAAAAGCAGAAACTATTAAATATTATAAACCAGCTTTTGCACAAAAATTGTCTTCTTTTAACTTATGAAATGCTTCACATAATTAGAATCCTGGGCAACATAAGCTTGAGACACTGCTGCTAACTTTGGCCTTTTTCACCCTTTCTCCTTGGTGAGGTTAATCAATACCTTCTTAAACATTACAGCCCAACTGCTCTTCAAGAAGCAGTCAAATAATTCACAAACCCAAAATAATCACATTTCAAATCAATCTCTGCAGCATCCCCAGACATCCCTCCCTCCTTCCCATATCATTTATGATCACGTTGATACATCACACGCTGGTTCAGCATCACTGGCTCTGAAGGGCTTTGTGGTTGTTCCTCTATAGCAGGAGTGAGCTCAGCCACCCAAACCCCCCTGGGAGATGCTGGTGAACACTGGAGAGGCTCCAGGCAGCCCCTGGAGCTCTGGACAAGGACCTGAGTATCCCATCCATCTGCAAGATACCCACATCCCACAGACACAGCTGGACAGACACCTCCAGTGCACCTGCTCCAACACAGGAATTTAAACAGGCAAGATTTATGAGACCTGTCTGGTCAGTCACTGGTGCATGGGAGTGCCCGCATCCCTCACTGCATGAGCCCAGGCCAACCAGCACAGACATCAGCACAGGCAGCAGAGACAAGTCTTTTCACATCCACGCTCTTCTCATTAATGAACTCTGGATATTCCAGCACACAATTAACCCTACAACAAAAGGCAGGATGCAGCATCCACAGCACATGTCCTTGAGTGAGTGCTGGGGCTGCAGGATGAGCCTCTGGGCAGTCACTCCCCATCACTGGGCTCAGGCTGCTGCAGACCAGACCACTTTATCCCCTGGCCCAGAAACCACAAGTCATACTAAAACAACTTAAACAGCATATCCTCGAGCTCACTGCAACAAAGAAAAAAATTACTACTGAAAAAACTGAGTATTCTATCTCAGTAATAAATTTAGAGCTGGTGAAGCCAATCCCACCCTGTACAACTCGCCCCAGGAGCTGCAAGTCCCGTGTTTTATCAATCTCGGAATGATTGGATTGGAAAGGAGCTTAAAGCTCATCTCCCATGGGCAGGGACAGCTTCCACGAGACCAGGCTGTCCAAGCCCTGTTCAACCTGTTGGTAACATCTCTTACTATCTGGAATGTGAGATTCACATTAGCAGAGATGTTTTGATTTTGGAAATCAGCAGGAAGTATTTTGGTGCAAATAAGGTTAAGTGTCATGCTGGAGTCCACGTAGCCTTGTCCTTGTGACAAATACAGCAAGGGAGACCTTTGAGTCTAGCAGCCTCAAAACTGGACTGTCATCACTGTGCCCCTCTAACAGAATAAAACAAGGGGCAAAAATAATTCAGGTGCTTCTGAAAATCTCTTTGTGGTCTGGTATAAAGGGAAGGCATCATTATTGATGGGGAAAACCGAAAAGCAGCAAGGACAATCCATCTTCAGCACTGCACACAGGCACAGGAGAGGCACCTAAACACCCTTAACAGGGTGGAAATTGCAGAAAAGTAAACAAAGCAGATTTATGGGATGGCCCAGCTGGCGAGGGGCCCACTGCCCTGGACTATGGCTTTGTGATGGCACCATCCCAACCCCACCCATGTTTTCAATAATCTGCTGCTGGGGAAACACTGACACGAGTAATTACGTGCTGCTCAGGGAGGAACAGCAGCCTCCCTGTGCCAGCCCTGAGAGCTGGTGGCACCCATGGAACCTCAGAATGCTAGCAGGGCTTTTATAGAAAGCAACACAAACTCACTGGGGGCGAGGAACAAGAGACTTCTGGAAGACGAGAAAGTAACAGAGTCTGGACAAAGTCACTGGGCACCACCTGGAGGAGTTTTATTCTCTACCAACTGCATCCAGGAGACCAGGATAGGAGGGAGGTGAAGTTCCACGTGTCCCACATCAGGAAACCTGAGATGCCTTGCTTGGCAAACTGAAACCTGTTTATATAGCCTCAAAAAAGGTAAAAACAAGGGAGGTGGGGAGCTGCCCAGGCTGCCCAGGGAATGGTCCCGGCCCCGAGGCTGCCAGAGCTGCAGGAGCGTTTGGACAGCGCTCTCAGGGCTGGGCAGGGTGGGGCTGTTGGGGGGTCTGGGCAGGGACTGATGATCCCCGAGGGTCTCTTCCAGCTCAGGACATTCTGTGGTTCCATAATTAAATTCTACTGACTGACTGACACACTGCACCTTCAAAGTATTATAAACTATTTTCCCAGGCACCTGTAAGAAGAAAAGGAGCCTCTCTCTGAAAATCTGTGATTTCCAAGCAATTGGAGAAGTGCAGGCAGTGCAAGGCAGGCACCCTACAGCACGGAAATCTGGTGTACAGGAAGCACACAAGCTCAAACCTGTATTTCTTCCTTGGAAATCCTTGTTTTCCTTACAAACAAAAATCTCAGTTGCTATGGTAATATAAATGATCCCTGAGTTATGGTTGCTGTGTGTAATATAATAAAGTTGGAGAGCACCTGGGTGAAGGAATTTGGATGTTATACAAGTGTTATTTTACTGAAAAAAAATTTGAAGGAAAAAAAATTGAAGGAAGGCTACTTTGGTGAACTAAAATTCATGTGGAAGATATTTATGGGGTCTGTGGTTATTAAGCAAAAGGAAAAGTTGAAGCAGTCCTTGGCTCTGGGACACCTTCTAGACATGGACAGAAAATCCACCTGTTGGCCACATGAGCCTTGACTGGGGAATGACATTTCTGCAATGGTATTTGGGAATTTGAGGATGTGACTGGCCATAAACATTAAGCTTAAGTGAATTTTCATTGAACAGAATTACTTGAGTGTATACTTTATTCAAAAGACATTGCCTTGTTCCTACAAGCCGTTGCTTTGATCCTACAGATTGGTTCTTTTCTGTGCATCAGCTGTCTTCCACAGAACAAATTATTTTTACATATCTGAATTTATAAAATTATGAGTTTTGACCAAAGACTTTTGCTTTTATATTATTTTCACACCTTTTTAGGATGTATAAATGGAGTTGGAAGGGCACTGTCAGCAGAGCACTGCTGCCATCTTTCCTTTGGATGACAATGCACCTCGGTTTGTGTTTTACTAAAACTGAAAATAATAACAAAATAACTCAATACTGTAGCATGTGGCGAAATACAATCCAAAAAACAGATGTGAAAACCAGCCCAGAGCGCTCTTTTAATTTAAAATACTACCCACTTCAAAATTAGTCTGCAAGTTTTCTAGAATAATTTTGAAAAGTGTCTTCCACAAAATTTTTGAATGCAATTATTTAAATCTATTAAAACCCCAGGTTTCTCAGTAAAACCAGATTTCCAAAGTAGCTCTGAACAACAGATATGGCTCAAGTAAGTTTTTTTATGAGAACCACAGCATGTAACCTCCACTAAATGCTCCTCTAAGGAGTGAGTGCCTCCCTGGGGATGTGTTTTCTGCTTCTCCTTTTCCAATTCACTGTATTCATTTCCTTGAGAACTCTTAATTTTGTCTGACGTGATAATAAAACATTCTAGAAGATCTGAATGAATTATTTCAGTCCCTCCTGCAGGCAGGTGCAGCTCAGTCCATCACCCAGGGCTCCACACGCCACAGCCCAGGTCAGGGCTGAACACACAGCGAGGCACAGCAGTGCCTGTGCTCGTCGCACCATTTGCAAACTGTACAAGAGTTAACAGTTCAGATCTAGCTCAGAAATTGCCATTCAGTGTTCACATCCAGAGAATCTCATCCCACCCCCTGCCATGGCAGGGACACCTCCCACTGTCCCAGGCTGCTCCCAGCCCTGTCCAGCCTGCCAGGGATCCAGGGGCAGCCACAGCTGCTCTGGGCACCCTGTGCCAGGGCCTGCCCATCTCACAGCCAAGAATTTCTTCCTAATCATCCCACCTAACCCTGCCCTCTGGCAATGGGAAACTGTTCTCCCTTGTCCGGGCACTCCAGGCCTTGTCTCAAGTCCCTCTCTGAGTCTCTTGCAGGTTCCCTATAAGCTGCATCTGCACCTTGGCTGGGCCCTCAGAGCTGGTGCTCAGACCCCCCTCAGTGACCCCAGACCCCATGAGCCCCAGCCATGCACAGTACAGGGTGCAGAGATGCCCCATGGACTCTTTGCCTTGGGCTTCCACCAGCCTTGGCAATTCTGCAGCGTGTTCCACCTCACCGTGCTGGACATCCTCCAGATGCAAACTTGCCAGGCTTCAGTGTGGGGAGGAAACTGTAACATCCCTCTGTAAGAAGCTCCAAAATCCATGGCAGCAGTAGCCAGACTTTTGCAGGTGCAGAGGACCTGGCACTCAGGTGTGCAATGTGCACTTACCTTTGTTTTCTGGAAGCTTCGTGTCTCGTTTAAACTACACAGATGAAGTGCCCTGTAGCCAACACTGAGAGCCAGGCACCTTTCTGAGGAGTACATCTCAGGCTTTAGGAGTA